CTCTCTCTCTCTCTCTCTCTCTCTCTCTTGCTCTGTGTGTGTGTGTGTGTGTGTGTGTGTGTGTGTGTGTGTGCGCGTGCACATGTACATTTTATGTTAGTGTCATCACTTCTTATTGGCGATGTTGCAGGGGCGAAGTCGTGAACATGGGATTGACTTCAGAGATGAAATTGCTGCAAAACATGCCATTGAGCAGTCTGGTGAAAGATCAGAAGTCAGAGATGAAATTGCTGCAAAACATGCCATTGAGCAGTCTGGTGAAAGATCAGAAGTCAAGAGTCAACTTTGTGCCCTGTTCTTGATTCCTTCTCTGGCCTGCAAAGGTGCTCCTCTCATCCTTGCCTGATGGAACCAGAAGACGGGAAAAAAAATGAAACGAGGAGAGGAGGAATTGTGTGTGAAGGAAAGCAGGGAAAAAGGAACCCCTTTTATATGCCCAGAATACGGCTTAGCGTCTCGTTGGCCGCTCCCCCGATGGTTAGTCACACCTTAAATGCAAAGCAATTTAAATTGTAATTGTAATATATACGGTTCAGCCTTCTGACGAGTCAGTGAAACTCTGACGATACAGTTCGTCACAGCCTCTCGTTTATTGTTTGTTGTCCTCTTCTCCCTCTGCGCCGACGGTTTGCCGGGCATTTCTGTTTGAGGATATATAGCATGGAATTTTTAAAGTTTAAACCACCAGTAATTGGCCCAGCTGTTGGGCATGGGGGGGAAAAAGAGAGTACTGGTGGTTTTTAAAGTTAAAACATTTCGAGTCGGATGAATTTGCGTGCTTCTGTAGTGGCCGGTACGTTTCCTAAAATGGGGGCTTTTTAACAAGTACTGGTGGTTTAACATGTCAGCCAACATGCTAAAATTATAAAAATGATGTAAATCTTAAATTGTCCGGAACAACAAATCTAATGTGTAGAGGCTCATGTTATTAAAAAACCATCGATGTACAAATCAGTCACTTTCTGAATGAGATTGTTCTATTTTTTATTTATTTTTAATTCAGTTATATCTTGTATTAATTTATTAAATGTATTTTACTATTTTGTTTGATGCTTGTCTTACACCTTTGTGGATTACAAGTAAGTTGGCAACTGGATTTTATTTTTATTTTTTTTTTCTTTCTTTCTAAAAACCACTGTATGGAAGTTGTCTCCCCGAGAGCGTCAATAGTGGTTAGGGGAGGGGAACTGGGTACAACCACCCAGATTAGACAATAGCTGGATCAGATTACTTGCAAAGGTTTTAGTTGATGTTCTTGCAGATTAGGGGAAGGGAACTGGCTTAGGGNTTAGACAATAGCTGGATCAGATTACTTGCAAAGGTTTTAGTTGATGTTCTTGCAGATTAGGGGAAGGGAACTGGCTTAGGGGAGGGGAACTGGCTTAGGGGGGTTTGTCAGGTTTAAGCCTTCGCTCGTGAAAGGCATAGTTCCCCGCCTTTTTTTTCATCCAGTTTTCACTTGTTGAAGTTCTTGCAGACTAAGGGACGCTGGACCTGGTTTCCAGCAAGAGCCGAAAGCTGGGTAATGGCCGTGCAGTATTCCGGTTTGAGATATGGAGGAATTGCCAGCCGCGGCTTTTTCAGGATTAATGAAATGCAAACTTCCGGCTTCAGCTTTTTCATGATTATGCTTAATGAAATGCAAGCTTTTTGTATAAAAAAAAAAAAAAAAAAGGGAGGAATTTCCGGCCTCATCTTTTTCGTGATTAATGAAATGCAAGCAAATTGGAAAAAAAAAAAAATAATAAAAAAAATTGTCGGGCAAAAATTCCGCAAAATGCAAAACATCTTACATGTTATAGATCGGCATAGTTTGGAATTGTAATCTGAAGGAGTGTACTGGTTTTGCAGGGTCTACATTGGATAATTTGGAATTTTAATTTCTAGCGGACTTATCAGGTTAAGTTCTGGAGGAGGCTCATGTCATTTATGAACAATCGATGTATGATAAGCCACTTTTTGATAAGACGAATCTTTTTATTTTGTTTTTCTGAAATCAAGTTATGTCTTGTATTTTGTCTGATGCTCAACTTCGTTGGATCTTCATTGAATACACAAGTGAGATTGCCATATCATGACTAAATCCTAATTTCAAGACGAGTATGGAGCTCTGTGGATTAGTACTAGCTTTATATCCAATACGATTTCTGAAAAACAGAAATATTTGGTTTCCATAAGCTTCACTTTATTTGATTTGACAAAGAATTCCCGCTTCCAGGAAGCCGCCGTTAGGTGCGATCAGACAAGAAGGTGAAGAGTTCCAAAGGCCTATCCTTTGGTCTTTTGTTTTTTGTGTTGGGAACCAGTGGAAACTTGAAAGCTAGGCCAAAGGATAATTTGACTATTAATAATTTGATTATTAATAAATAGTATAATAATTGTGCGAACGAAAAATACACTGAAACATCTACCTCTAGTACCTCACAATTTAATATTTATTAATTCGATTATTAATTTATTGATATTATTCTTATAGTATAATAATTTATGAACATGAAATGTAGTCTGAAACTTCCAGCTCACACTGACACTGGGAAGGAGTATTCTAGAAGTGTTCGAGAAGGTTAGCTAATTACGAGGAGCTACCAATTAGATAGACGTCCCATTCGTTGCACGGGACAATATCATAGTATAATGGGACGCATAGCTACGATCCGGACTCTCTGGGTTCCAGCATTTGGTACCGGTCCGGATGGCGGGCCCTCAGGGCAACGGCTAATGTTTTTGGGGGGCAGCCCAGGGCGGTTTTTGACGCCCTGGGCTGCCCAAAAAAAAAAGGCCAATATTTTTTTCGGCCTTAGACCATTGTCTGGAAGCGGCGGAAAATGAAATGTGTTCCGCGACTTCTTACCCAATGTGCTGTTGGTTGCTGGCCTGTTTTGTTTTATGCTTTGAGAACAAAACTTCTGCGGTGCTGCTTTGTTTCCATCCGCCATCCGCGATCCGCGATCCGCGCTGCTCATAGCAGCCCTTTCCTGAATGTTTGGAACCGGCGCGCCACTCATGTTCGAATACAAGTTCTTAGCTGTGCGTTTTAGTGTGTTCAGATTCAATGCACAAAAGACCAAAAAGATACGGAGACTTACCTGTTCTCTCTCTCTCTCTCTCTCTCTGAGCCACGCGTGCAAAAAAAAAAAAAAACGAAGAACTTTAAGAAAGTGGTAGTATATTTCCATGTTCCAGCGGAAAATTCATTCCGATTTTGATCATCCTATCAACGAAAGTAGCTTCTCTGTATCTCACTGCGTGCATGGCTGGGCAGCAGTGTATATTTCCATATTCTAGGGGAAGATTCATTCTGATTTTGCTTATCCTATCGATGGAAGTAGCCTCTCTCTCTCTCTCTCTCTCTCTCTCTCTCTCTCTCTCTCTCTCTCTCTCTCGCGCGCGCGCGCGTGCGTGCACGTGCGCATGCACACCGGGATTTCTTTTAAATGTATCTGTCCGTCGCGGGGTATCTTCCTATCTCATTTTGCACATTGGCAAGCTGCTCAGTTGATGAACGCATGAAAAAAAAAAAAAAAAGAAGTATGGCACTGTGGCAGTGTATATTTCCATGTTCTGGTTGAATATTCATTCCAATTTTGCTCATCCTACACACACCGAGGTAATGTACGCATGTACACGGTTTTTTTTTTTTTTTTGTGGAAAATATGGAGTATCCGGAGAGGCATCCGGAAAGGGGATCCGGACCGGCCCGGATCCTCCCAAGAATTCCGGTGTTCCGAAATTCTGGAAGGGCCTGGGAGGTCCGGGTCCCGGGGTCCGGTCTGGTGTAGGACATGGCGCACACATTCACGAGGGAAGGGACACGTGATGAAAGATGCAATTCGATTATAAATAATTCATTAACAGAATGCACTCTGACGCAAGGCTGGTCGCTGGTGGTGGTATTCATGGGCAAACACAGCAACAAAGCATCAATTAACAATAGGCCATATGCTTATACGAAAGTGGGCCCTGGCAGCTCAATCACGACAAGACAACATATAGAAATCATGAAAAGACTCGTCGGCAATAACCAGCAAGAATCTGAGTGACTGAGTCATCCTCAAGATATGACTACAAGCAAATGGAAAGACGGTATTTTAAGGATGAACCAGTGCTTTGAGACAGAAAAGTGCAAGCAGATATATGCTTATACGAAAGTTGGTCCTAGCAGTTCAATCACAACAACACCACATCATATAGAAATCATGAAAGGACTCGTCTGCAATAACCAGCAAGAATCTGAGTCATCCTCGAGATATGACAACAAGCAAATGGACAGACGTTATCTCGGGGATGAACCAGTGCTTTGAGACAGAAAAGTGCAAGCAGAGAAGAGGAGGAGAGGAGAAGAGGAAGGAAGAGAAGAGAGAAGTGGAAAGGAGGGAGGAATAGACATGGGCACGAGCAACATTCATTGTCACACATCAGAGCCAATTACCTTTGAACGTGACTAGTAGGCTATTAAAGATTGAAATTTGAAAGAATACAGCATCAGCCCATCTTCGAGATATGACAACAAGCAAATGGACAGACGGTATCTCGAGGATGAACCAGTGCTTTGAGATATTAAAGTCCAAGCAGAGAAGAGGAGGAGGAGGAGAAGAGGAAGGAAGGGAAGAGAGAAGTGGAAAGGAGGGAGGTATAGGCATGGGCAAGAGCAACATTCATTGTAACACATCAAAGCCAATTACCACGAACGTGACTAGTAGGCTATTAAAGATTGAAAGAATACAGCATCAGCCCATGAAGCTTGAACGGAAAGTAGGCATCGCCGCGGCGTTGTTGTCGTCGACTCCCATCCCAAGCTACTCGGCGGATGACCCGACATGTTTCGTCCGGTCCGCTGAAAACGGAACTCCTCAGGGGTTCTTGTCACGATGAGCGTCTTCTGACAGTGTCGACAATCCTATTAAACAGCATAGACCGAGACAAAGACCGAGAATGAGCAACAGCGATTTCCCAAAACCGGTCTCGATACGGTGGGTCTGATCCGACCAGTCACAGCACAGAATACGGTGGCTGCTGTGACCCTACCAGTCTCAGCACAGAAGAATACGGTGGCTGCTGTGACCCTACCAGTCTCAGCACAGAAGGTTGAAGAAGGTTCTAGGCCTCTAGAAACTACAGCGAGTACCAGATTACACTGGAAAAATTCCCAAAACCGGTCTCAATACGGTGGGTCTGGTCCTACCAGTCTCAGCACACAATACGGTGGGTGTCGTCCTACCAGTCTCAGCACAAAAGGCTCAAGAAGGTTCTAAGCCTCGAGAAACTAAAGAAGGTTAAGAAATAGAATCTTTACTTATTCAAGCGCACGACCCTCGTTCGAAACTGGGAGCAGTCGTCTCCCACCCCAAATGAGTCCTAAAAAATCCAGCAGATCAAGGTAGATAGGTTTGTGAAGCCCATCCGGTGCCAATGCAGCAAAGCAAGAAGGACCCATGTCAGGGATCGAAGCCTAGAGAAGTAACGCCTTACAGCAAAAGTGTTAAAAACCTGATTCAGGCGTCAAACTGATAAGGACACTTTATGGCACGTGCGATAAGACCTCGATATAGGGATGAAGTGTGATAAGACCCCGATACAGGGATCGAAGCAGACAGGTGCCCACTGCCCTCTACTAAAACCCCGTACTCTTATGATGCCCCCTACTTATACAGAACACCAGGTCTTTGAACCCTCATGACGCTTGGAAAAATCTCTCACACCCAGTTAAAAATTCAACCAAATCTCTTGCCCCTACTTATACAGATCACCAGGCCTTTGAACCCTCGCCACGCTTGGGAAATTTCTCTCACACCCAGTTAAAAATTCAACCAGATCTCTCCGCTGTCGACCAAATTCCAGGAGAAATTTTCTCTCACACCCAGTTAAAAATTCAACCAGATCTCTCCGCTGTCGACCAAATTCCAGGGGAAATTTCCTCCCATCCAAAATTAAATTTCATCTCGGAAACCTCTCAATCTGACCTCGCCCTTCAGGGCGAACAGAAACGCGACTTCAGCTGCGGGTAAGCTTGCCAGTGTAAATTGCTTTGCCTTGTGCAGAAGTGAACCGACGGCAGCCATCTTCTGTCGTTTCACAATGTCCGAACAGTCCTATCGAGGATTCTGGAATCACACCCCTTGCTCAAAGGTCACCTTCTGATTTCTTTTCTGCACGGCAGCACATTTAACACCCGTTGTCCAGCCAAGCACCTTCACCACACCACTGAGGAAATCCCAGCAGGCAGATCGGACCAAACTTCGATCATAACATCTCTCAAACCTACCGTGGATAATCTTCGCCTTCTCAAAGGTGGTCACATCGTCAGATCATCTTGCTGATACTCCATAAAGATGGAGGCGTCGTCAATCAGCTGCAGACGTCATCAATCAGCTGCACCCCCGTTGACTAGTCCAGTCACTGCCCAGGACCTGCGGGAGGGAAAATTAAAATTCCGAAGAAACACACAACAAACAGTCAATTGTGGGGCTAGAAGGGTTTCCCATAGGAATACCTATCCCTATCCTCTACTGCAAAATCCTTCCACTGGCCAATCACAAGCGTGCTTTGGATCAAATTCCACAAACTCATTAACAGCCCCAAAATTCAAACTCGGTCGTCCATCCCCTTTTTTCCCTCGCTGGAGTTTTGCACATTTCCCCTGCTTGATTAGCAAAACCACCTTAACCTCTCGCTCATCCTAGAAAATGGCAGAAATCAATCAGCCGCTCAAAACATCTCCTTCACATCGAAGGCAGCAGTCAGTAATTCCTCCCCCTCCTAGGTCCTTTTTCAACGATTTTCGACCAGCATGGCAGTGCTCTTCAAATTGAGAGTGTTTTTTTTTGTTGTTGTTTCTCACTGATTTTGGCAATTCCCATGACATCAAGTTGATGGCGCGCGCTTCCTGCATACTCTCACAGTGCAGTGTGTGGAGGCCGGATGAATTGGCCTCCATTGGCACACATCCTTGTGCTTGGGGACTGCGCACTCACAGTGCAGTGTGTGGAGGCCGGACGAATTGGCCTCCATTGGCACACATCCTTGTGCTTGGGGACTGCGCACTCGCTTTCAAGTTCCGCTTCCCGTCCCACTTCGCCAGCCTCGGCAAACTCCTCTCCGTGTATGCCTTGCTAGTTCTGTGCAAAATTTCGCACTCGCTTTCAACATAAACACGATAACCTGAGTTCTCCAGAAACAGTTTGTTCATCCCTTCCTGATACTTAACCGGGCTGCAGACCAGCCTGTCCCCTGGATTGGAAGGGTTGGTGATGGTATTCATCGATCATAACCTCCTTTTCCAGACCATCACCTCCAGTGGAACAGCAAAACCCAGATCACGGAAGGATGCAACTCTTGATGTCATTCACGAAAGACCTGAATCTAAACAACAGACCTGAAGTTAAACAACGAATCACCGATACAGACATGGTCATCTTCAAGAGGAAAGCCCCCCAGGGTAGAGCATCAACAAGCATTCTCCACCCGGTGACCTGGACGCCACCGGAGGGGGGAGGGGGTAGGTGGGTCGGTGCCGGTTGTGTCACCCAGTTGGCCACTGGGCATCCCTAGTTCAAAATGACTGGGAGATCGGGAGGACCCAAATCAATGCAGGCGTTCTCGCAACATCGCCCAGAGGGCGTGACACACAAAAGAAGCCAACGGGGTCGGGCGAGGCCATTTGTGGATGAGAGATTCCAGCCGCCAATCTGCATAGAATCTGCATAGATTGGTGGCTGGGATCATTTATCAGGAAAAGAGGATGGGTGAACGAATTTCACGGTTTCCAACATCGTGCAAATGGCAGCCCCTGCCAGCATTCGAATTTTGAACGCTGGTGCACTATGTTGCACGCTGGCCGCGGCCGGTTTCGGCCTAGGCCGGGACCCCCCCGGCCGAGCCCGGCCCGGCCGAGTTTTTTCGGCATCAGTGTCGGCCGATCTGGGGGGTGGATTTCGAAGCGGGGAGCGGGTTTGGGGTGGGGGGG